AAACTGGATTGAATCACTTAATAGAATTGAAATTATCAGAATACTATCACAATACATACATCAAGGAAATTAATTTAAGAGACTCGAAAAGCTGTGAATGACAGAATTTTTAATATTAGTGTTGATAGACGTGAAGTTGGCTTTTAACGTCAGCTATATTGAAGGACTGCCAACAAGACGAATATATCAACGATAATTGATCTCAAATTAACGAATAGTGTAACACTTCGAATAATATTATAATTAAAATGACATTCGAAAAACATGTCATCGATCAAATATATTAAAAATAAGTGTGTGTGTGTGTGTTCATAGATCTTGAGTTATTTTTCTATTCTTATCGGATAAATGTCAATTTTATGTCCCAATGCCATGTGTCTACCTCTATGTAACAGTAACTATAGCTCACAGTGTTGAGAATAAGAAACGAAATGGAAAATGTATGATTAGTAATTTTCGAGACGAAATGTGTATATATATAAGTATTATCTATGAGCAGATGTAACGATAAAGATTAATGTAACAATAATAAAATGTTAGATACATTTATTTTTTTTCCAAGATGTGATACTGTTATTATTGTAAAATTGTATTTTATTTTTTAACAAAATTGAAAATTTTTTACGTTAAATGTAAGAAGGAAAATAATTGAATTATAGTATGGAATGAAATACGAATTTCTTTAAAGTCAAAATTTTTTTAAAAGTTTGGTTAAACGCAAAAATAAAAATAATTAAATTACGAATAATGTAGTGTAAAATTTTTCATGCAACTTTTTATCTATATTCATCTTTAAATTTTTTGAAATTATAAAAGCAAGAACAGCTGAAATCCATTAAGTCTAAATTCAATTAAAAATTTCCTCTGCAAATTTTTTCTACTTTTTCCCGAATATTTCAAAATATTCAACTTTTTTCAAAACCAAAAAATTTTTTAAAAAGAAGGAAAATTAACGATCCACTCGAATAACTGAATTCAAAAAAATTATATACTTACACAATTCGAATTCCACTTCGTCGATAGATATCCCATTGTTTTCAATCGAATCGAAATTAAAACATAATCACAAATTCATGTGTACACCTTATATCATTCCTACGATTTCACGATTTTTCTTCACCGATCGTTAAAATCAACATTGTTTGTGTCGGTTACCATGCCATAATGTTAAACAATTCAAGAAAATCCTATCACTCGATATCGATCGGTCACGAGAAGTGCTTTTAACAAGGACCATCGTTTAGACAATATCGACACTTTTATATGAATGTCTTTGATATTGATCAAATTCGAAAATTTTTCACGATTTGTAAATTCAATTCAATTCGATTCGTTTATTTTGAAAAGTAAAGAAAGATGTTTGTTAAAGTCATTATTTCAGATTGTAAGTTTGTCACTGTTAACAAACACTCACTGTGGCCAGCACGATATTAGCACAATAATTTTGTACTCGACTATCGGCCGACACAATGCAGCAGAAACGTGCTTAGCTTCGAGAAACTTTCAATTGTTTTTCCATTAAAGAGTTATAAATAGGTAATAGGTAAGTTGAGATATCAAGTTTCGATTAATTATTAAAGTGACTCGTTGAAAATCGAAAGAAATGAAATTGTTGAAAATTTACAATAATATTAAAATCAATGAACATTACTGAAAGAAGAAAATTTGCATTCTCACTTGAAAAGTATTTGCAATGTACAATAACGTATTTTAAAAATTTAATAATCTCGTTTTTTCATCATCAAATACATTAGAAACTGAAAAACTAGAAATTCAAAAAATTCAGTTTAAATTATTTTTTGAAATGGAAAAAAATAACAATAAAAATTAAACCAAACTTTAAATATTACTAATTCTATAAAAAAATCTCAATTTTAAATTATTATCACATTGAAATATTTTCCGAAATAGAACAATTTACAGCAAAAATTAAACGAAAATTTTTTTATTAAAATATTACTAATTTTTTTAAAAAACGCCAATTTTAAATAATAATCACAAATATTATTTATTAAAAGAGAACGAAAAACAACGAAATTTCATATACAAATTTCGCACAGCGGGACTCAATTTGATGAACGAATTCGAATCACGCGAGTAACAACCGTCACATCGAACATGGCGGACGACGCGAGACACGTGTTTGCGATCACGCTTCGATTTGAGGGCGAAATGACAGACGAATTATTCGAAACGCGCGCGACGCTTACTCGACCACGTCTCGCGCTTCAATGGTGACGCATTCTCGCGACCACGACGTCGACGCTTCTGACGACGCCCACCGACCGCCTAACCGACCATCCTACACCTGCTCGGATAAAAAGGGGACGAAAATCCCAGGATTCGATCCTGTGTCCGAAAAAAAAAGAACAAAACTTTGATGTATGGAGTTTTTTTTCTTGGAAACTTTCGATAACCGGCCGAAAACATATTACGATTTATGGTGTTATGGATTTAGTTAGTTTATGATTTTAGTATGATTTTATTTTACTATTTTTTTATATTGTGGAAATCGTATGTACATTGTATACTGTATTTAGACATTGTATATAAAAATCATATATATACTGCAAAGTGTATATAGATATTTGGATATATAGAAATGTGTATACATATATTGTACAACATATATATGTATTTCAATACTGTGTGAAAATTGCGTATATATTATATAGTATGGTATATATATTATATATTATAGTATGGTGGATATATAGAATTTGAATTTTAATAATAAATTAATAAATAATAAATTATTTTCTTGAAAATTATCTATTAATAAATTTGTTAATAATACTTATTTTCGACATAAATATAAAGAAAAAAAAATATAAATGATGTAACATTATTGAAGATGTCGATTATGATGTCATTTCAGACAGAATCCAAATATGCTATTAATAATGATCCAGTTTAAAGATCGTTACAAAAGAAATTACATAGTTAAGTTTCATCATATGAAATTATCTTTGATTAAATATGCAGAAATATCTAAACAAAAGTTTTGCACGTATTAATTGTAAAGAGTGTTTTCAATTTTTTTATAGAAAATAAACAAATAATTGACAATTATGATGTTAAATCTTGATAAATCCTGGAAATTCTCATAGGAAATCATCATAGTTGATGAAATATATTGATAATATATAATTTTTGAGAAATAATCTTAATATTAAATATATAACTATCAAATATTTTTTCCTTTCATATAATTTACATTTTTTCAGATTTTTAACCATTAACTTTCTATTTTTGCTTAATACAAAAGTATTTATACATTTATATGTTTATCTAAATTTTTAAATCATTATTCATGATTATGATATATATTAAAAAATATTAAATTCATGAATAATTTCACTAATTACATTAATTTAAGTGACAAGAATTTCTAATGTTTAGAAATTTCAATGAATATATTTACCATGAAAATTTCTCTAGATAATAATAATGAAAAACAAGAATTCTCAGAATCGCTTCGAGCAGTGAATATAAATAAAAATTTTCGTGAATCGCAATATATTAAAGAATTAAAATTAGATATGATTAAATTTGAAACAAAAATCAAATAACAATTAACATCGAAAAATTTTAAAACGTTAAAGAAAAATTATAAAATAATCTTAATCTAAATTATGGAATAAATAATATTAATATTCACTGCTCGTTATGTACATAAAAAGTATAATATGAAAAAAACATAAAACTTACCATTCATAGATAACACCAAAGCATTTAGTAATCCAATAGCTTCTGCCATCTTGACAACGAAATACCGGCATTTCCGAATAAAACGCGCGAAACTGTCACACTCACAAATAAAATATCGTAAAAATGAAAAATTGTTACACTCGTGAATATACATATTTTAAACATACGTGAATAAAGTTATACAAATAAGACGCAAATATTATAAACATTCGCGAATAAATACATATTAAAAAATCGGAAATAATATGTCAAACATTTGCAAATAAATATGCGAATTAAAAACACTCGCGAATAAAACACGCGTACTTTAAATATTTATGACTAAAAAATAAATATTTTAAACTCAAAATTCGTGTACAATTTGAAATTATATACGAAATGAAAACGCGTATAAACGGTAACTCCAATACGTCTAAACGGTATGGCGGTCGAAGCGTAACTGCCTCTCCCCACCTAGCGATCATAACTCTGCGGGCAAAGTCGCGCGTATCGATATCGATAATGGCACAAATATTTATAGATTTCAAACGAATATTTTAATATGAAATATTCAAGTTTTATAATTTTATTTTATATAATATTATAATTCTCAATGTTTTATCAATTTTAGAATAAGATTATAACGTAATGATAATTGGAATTGAAATTAAATTTTAATATAAAATTATGTTATAAATAAAAAATAGAACAAATATTCTATTACTAAATATTGTAAGTAAATATTATATTTTCAATATCAATATATTTATATTGTATATTAAAATATACTATATTTAACATAAGTTATTATTCTGGACATTCCGATCGAGAATATATTTTTTATATTACAAATTAAATTTTCAAGAAGAAATATTGTAAATATATTCAATTGATATTTTGTATCTCGTCTATAATTACGCGTCGCAAATAAAATTCATAAAAAAAGATAAAAGAAGAATATCGATAAGAGAGATGTAAGAATTAAATATTGATCTACAGAAAAATAATTCATGAGAATTATAAGATTATTTTTGGTATTAAAAGATGGCGTTTATAGCGAATTTTACCTTATTTCTGTCTTTTTCTTAGTTATTTTAGTTATTTTTGTCATTCTCTTTCTATCTTTCTAGAGATGACGTTGATTTCAATATTTGTACCTTATCTCTATCTTATTTACTATTTGCTCTTCTTGTCCATCCTTTGCGAAATATATGTGCTGAAAACAAACTCTGATATCTGATTGATTTTCAAGATATTTTTTAAAAAATAAAAATATATAATTTTACAAAATATTTTAAAAAAAATAATGCTTTCTCCGTGAATTTTTTTATTTTATTTTATAAAAAAACTTACACAAATTACTTCGCTCAGTTTCTTAATCTGTGTTTCCTTTGTATAATACATTATCAATATTATTAAATATGTTAGACATGTTACAAAAATATTTCTCCGACATATACAATGATAATATTAATATTTAAATTAATATCAAAAATATACGCGATTATTATAATTTAAAAAATATACTCGAGAACGGTTTTACATATTCATAAATATTTATATACGTTGTTCATTGTCATATTTTTTTTTGCGTCGTATCGATTTATCTCATTCATTGCGTTAGAACTGAAATTTTTGTTATGAAAATTTTTCGTTCCCAATGAACGTAAAATGTTTATTTTGTCTATTTCTTTTCGAGGAGTAGACTTTTTCTGTTCTATATCATCCTGTATACTTGGTGTCGAATACTTGTTATAGGTATATTTTTCGAATTGATCCAATACTTTCTCATCTAACGACATAATACCCCTAGTTTTACTCAACTCTATCGATTTTTTCAAATCTGCACTTAACCCTTTTAAATATCTCGGTGTTGCAATTGCACGCGCCCGTTCAATTTTATTAACAGAATCGACCGATTTCGCGGTAAGAGGTTCAGATTTTTCCGATAATCGATCGAGAGCAGCTTTGGCATGACCGCTCTTCGGCGCCCTCGGATGATCCGACATCTTTCGACTGATCTCTTGCGCGAGAGTGTCGCCACCACAAGATTTCGGCTTATCGATGCAACTGAAGTTGTAATCGAATATACTTCTAGGGCTACGAATGCTTTTCAAGCTTGCCTCGATCAAATCAGCCAGATCAAAGCTGTCGTCCTTTGTGGCAGAATTATCGATTAACAGATCCGAGGTTGTGCTCAAAATCGTGGACTTGCTTTGTCCGATTTTTTTCGTTTTGCCTTTCGATTTAAGTTTCGGTGTCATTGATTTCTCAGTAGTTTTGTTAATCTTCGGTGTAGGTGTACTTTTTGGCTTTGTATTATTAACCTTATCATCCATCATTTTGATACTCACGTTGCTAGTCTTCGTGTCGATTTTCTTTACTTTATTCTGAAATTTATTCATTTTTATCTCGCTAGCTTTATTACTAATCAAATCTTTGTTGTCTGTTTCGCGTTTATTAGACTCGAGTTTATTAATTATCGACTGATCTCTTAGAATTTTTATGTTCTTCTGGCCGATAGTCTGTAAAGTTTTAAGCATGGGCGTTTTCTTTTCCGAAGTCACTTTTTCTTTTTCGATCATAGATTCGTTGAGATAATTATCGGACAATTTTCTCGAAAGAGTATTGATATTTTTTTTACGATTAGTGTCCTTCTTCGTAATCTGATTTTCCAGTGGTGCAAACTTTGACATATTTATTTTCGTATTCGAAGTGGAAACTTTTATGGAGTTTTCTATTTTTGTGCTTGCTTTCGCCAAGTTCTCTATTTTTGGATTTCCTTTCATGGTAGTTTCGATTTTTGAATTAACCGACTTCTGTCTCGCTGTTGTACGAGGTCGATTCATCTGAAAGGGCCGATGCTTGTGTCAATGAGCGAAAAATGAATGAAATTATTTTTATTATCATAGCGAAATTACTTTTTGTTCGAAAATTTCTACTTGCTCTAACTGAAATAGTTGTTTCCAATTGCACGGAATATATAATTTTTCGTACTTGTATTTTTTTAATGGATTGTACTTTTTATACAACGTTTCCCACACGAAATTATCATCAAAGATCTAAGCATTAAAAAAGAAGTGAAAAATAATGGAAAAAAAGAAATGATAAAATGAATTTAGATATTAAATTTATGTTACCTCTTTAGAGATGTGCGAGAGAGATGTTAATTTGATAATATCTTTTACGGTGAGATATTTGATTAATTTATTGATCAAACACTTTGGCAAGGTGAGTAACGTATTCCTTCCAGAAGCGATATTTGTCACGTGTTTTAAAAAATATTCACCTATGAGAATTGTAATGATTTATGAATTTAAAAAATTTAAAAATGATTCATAAAATTAGACAAAAATTTGCAAAAATATTTTATGCTAAAATTAATTTAATAATTTTTAATTTAATAATATTTCACAATTCGGTATAAGCTTTTCGACAAGCATTAAAAATATCATATCAAAATATGGTAAAGAAACAATCAAAATAGTTTCTGTACTAAAAAAAAAAAATAAAAGACGATTGACGAAAACGTTATTAAATATCAATGAAAAAACGTATGAAATAGTGAATAATTAAAAAAAACATCGAATAAACGTTATCGTAAGTTTTATAATATCGTAAGTAACGCGAAAGAGGTTATTGAAAATCGATTTTCTACCGAAGATACGTTGTATCTCGTCCTGCAGCTGATGATCTTGCTTGAAATCTGCGAAACAGGAGGTTTGTACAATCGGTGTTTTATGGGGACCGTGCGAGATTCGCCAGAGATAGAGTACCACCTGTAAAAGTAACGAAGTTACGAGGCAGAATCGCGAGGGCACGATCTATTCGTCAGCACCTGATTGTCGAACACTTTCAAACCGTAATAATCTCTGCTGGGAGAAGGTGCTACCGAATACTTTTCCAGGTATTCGAGCTTACCGCTCATACTCGATGTATGATCCAAATCCGTGAAACCTCCGCATTCCACCTGAACTTGCATCATAATCGATGTGTCCAACTTCGCAATCACGATAAAATCGAAATCTAACCAATCTAGTTTTTTTTTTTTTTTTAGTTTTTTAATTTGTATAAATCTATACGTTTATATTTGCAATGTGTGACGGAATATATAAAAAATATAGAAAATAATAGTTATTTTTATTTATATATATCAAAATGAAAAATGGTGCGATCAAAATGATGACCATTCACATTGATGCAGTAATCTTCTCGAGAATATATATATATGTATAAACAATGTATCAAAATAATATATACGAAGAATTGAGAAAGTAAATTTTTTATTCACATGCGTTAAAATAAAAGATTGTGATCGGAATGATTCACTATTCACACTGATGCGTAATTAAATTTCCTCTAGAAATATAGAAATATACAAGAGTATGTATAAAAATTGAAGAATATATGAAGAATACAAAAAAATAAGTAAACGTTACTTACAAACATCAAAATGAAATGTTAATAATATGTGATATAATAACCATTTGCATTAACGCAATATTTAATAGCTTTCTTCAAGAATTATGTATTTTTATTTTTTATTTCCGGCTGAATTATGGGTACATGTGCTGCAATCATTACGTCATATTCTCTCGTGTTGTTTATGAAGATGAACAATATCTTTAAATTTTTTTCCACAGATAAAAATCTAACTGATTGAAATCTGAAAAACGTTAACCACTAATTTTTTCTCATTTTTCAAAGAAAATATATAAAAGAAATTTTAAATCTATAATGAAACAGAATCAGGCCAAGATAGAATGAAGTGCAAAATGTTGTTTGATTTCATTGATATTTTTATTACAATAATTCCATATGAAGAGATGAAGATAAATATAGAAATGTCGAAGTAAAAATGGAAAGTTGCGTGACATTACATACTATTTTGTAATATTATGTAATAACAATATACAATAGGTAGGCTATACGGTAATATCACAATGCATGATTCACAACTTCATAAAAGTCTAGAGAAGAGAATATAAATTTTAAAGATACCAGGGACACGTATCATCTATGCCCCTATTTATTTCTCTTAAAGACAAAACGTTATTATTATTATATCAATTAGAAAACGTACGATGAAAAAAGTGTATTCTTTTCCTCATATTCTTTCTTATCATACTGCACACACTTTCGAGAGAATTGGAAATACGCATATATACGTACAAGTGTATGCTTGTGTTTGAATAAATTCCAATTCGTAATTAATTGTCGTTTATCGCCTTCAATATAATTATAATAGAATATCGATGATGCTAAAAGCTAATAGTGGTGTACTCACTTTAGTATAGTAATAGTATTCTTCTTAATTTTTAATAATAATTAGAATAATCATAATAGTAATAATAGTGATTTACAATAACAATAATAATGATCAATTATATCATGGACAACAGACGCGTATGGTTCTTTTCTTTCCTTTTTTTTCGTTTCTTTTATTTTCACCTATCTTTCTCTAATTTTTCATTCTGTATAACGTTTGATTGCATGATTGATATGACGTTCCCTAGCTCTTCTGACATGATTGTTATGTATCTCTCGAATGATCGTTTAAAAAATCGCATGAAAATAAATTACTATACGCTACCGTAGTCGAGAAGTCTTATGAGCGACGGAATAAACTTAAAGGCTCGTATTCATAACACTGTATTATTACTAAACGATACACCTTTTGTTTCACGAGCGCTTGAAAACGACGTTTTCTTTCTTTCTTTCTTTTTTTTAAATTAAGCAATATAATTTTTTTTAATATATTCCTTTTCGATTAACGATAAGAATAATTTCAATTTGGACGCAAATACGATTTTACTCGACGAGTATAGGTTATGATTATCAACGTTAGATCGCTAATTTTGATTAAGAATTAATTATCAATTCTCTCAACGATTGCTTATAGTATCATTTTTTTTCTTCTTTTTTTCTTTTTTTTTTTTTTTCTTAGAATTATTTTAAAACATTTTTCGACAGATTTTATAAATATAAATTATATTTATATTAAACATCGACGACGAGATATTTAAGGAAGAAATATAGTTAATAAGAATTTCATGTTGTTATTATAAAGATCGTTTTATATGGAAAGTAAAGGAGTATAGTTTGTTCTACTAGAGCGTTCTGAATACAGGCCAGATAGTATAAAAAATTGAGTTTCGTGCCATCATCAACTATTTTTTTTTTTTTTTCCACGTAAACTGGTCGTTGCTGTAAATTCTTCTGCAACAACTATGGCTTGTTACGAGAAGCTGAGTGAAAATAGAACGTTCCACCTAAAATTTCTCGTTTTTTCGAATTATAACGTTTCCTAGATCTAACTCAATCGCTATATTTATCAATCTATCTCGGTATATTCTATGGGATACGTAAAATCGTTCCAAAAAAAAAAAAAAAAAAAAAAAATAATCAATGAAACTCTCTTAACGTGAATACAAGCAAGAAAAGAATATACACCATTCAAAGAAAAGTTCAATCAAGTATAAATTACATTGTCTGTAAATGACTTGTGTAATTCAAGAATTTTTTTATGGTTTAAATTTTCAATTGACAAATCAATTAAATTAATAATCTATTGAAATAGTTACTTAATTAACTTGTCAACATTTTTAAAGAATATAATTTATACTTATTAGCTTCATTTAACACATTGTCAAAATTACACAAGCTCTACTGGATCTTTTTATATAAATCAATCCTTAAGAATCTTTGAATCTCGAGTCAATTACAATTGTCAATTAAATTTCAATGGATAAATGAAAAAATTGAAAATGAAGCATTTGAACAATTTTCACATCCCAGTATGGAATATTCCGATTCGAATGAGCTAAAACTGGTTCCACGCGCGACAAATCTAAATACGCTTTTTCTAATCGCGTGTACTCAACGTTTTTGTACTCAGCACACCCACGACGAATTACACCATACAGATTAAGTCTCGTTCCTCGTTCTAATAATTGTACCATCATTATGAGTATATATCCGCGTGATTTGTATCGAAGATAAAAAGTTTCTCGTCGGGTACGAACAACATAAGCGTAAACGACGACGACAACGACGCGCGTATCTCTGATTGCAACGTATAATATGCTCATATACGTGTATACATAAATGTGTATACATATAGATACATACATATATATATACATATATATATATATATATATAATATTATCTGGAAGAACAGATTTGCATATTGCAACAGCGCGAATAATACCGTCACGCCTTACCGAGGTAAACGATATCCGCATTTTTTATTTCTTCGATATGTTGCTCTATCGTTTACTTCTTTTGGTCGATTCATCGGTTTCAACATCAGTAAGTTCTTAAACATAAATATTTTTCGAATATAAAATGTATATCTGATAATCGATCGATTTATATTAAGTTAATTTTGTAACGATGCAAGTGTACAATAATATTATTATATTATTATATATTATAATTCACCTAAAATCGGCCGTCTAATTCTTTGATTCATCGATGTTTGGTTATAATTTTCGACATTCAATAAATTTCGAATATAAAATATATATTTGATACTCGATCGAGATATATATATATATATTAATTTTATAATACGAATAAATAGTAATATTGCTATATGTTCATTCAAAATCAACTGTTCACTTCTTTTGGTCGATTCATTGGTGATCGGCTAAAGTTTTTCCTCAATCTCGAAGTCAATATTCTAAACAAAGTCTCTTCATTTTTGAATATAAAACGATCGATCTATGTTAATTAATTTTGTAACATGATACATTTGTATACTGTAATATTGCTGTATATATTATAATCATCGCCTAGAATCAACTCGACGCTCAAAATTATTAAATGCTAATCGCACCATTATCGTTCCGTCAATAAGGCGATCGGGTGTGGCAAGTTTAACGAGTACCAATAAAGAGAGAAATAGAAATTCGGTACTCGAATTAAAATGTAATTAACGGGAATTAAATATACGGAGAAAAATGGATGAACCGGGCTACAAATATCCCTCGCCTCACTTTCGGATATAATTGCGTTTATATTAAATATCGAGTAAAAAGTAGTTAGTTAATCTTCGAGCTATTCTCCAAGTACTTTGTACATCGAATGAAATCCCTATCGAATCGCCATCTCATAGCGAAATGATCTAAACGTATCCTCTAAAGGATATTCTCGTTCTTCTATCTATCTTTTCTTTGTTTCTTCTTTTCAAGTTTACTGGACCAACGAGACCGTGGTATCCGTTAAACCACCTTCGTCACGGCATATACTGGAAGAAGTAGTCGTTTCCTCGGACGTGGCAGGAGCCACGGTCAATTGCCTCTGCTCCATGTGATCCAGAGTCTTCTCAATAGCTCTTAATCTCTTCTCTAAGCTGGTGGTACCCAAAATTCCCACTTGCAACTGTGGGCCAAGCGGCAATATAGCTAGTAACCACCATGTCCACGATGGGCCATCCGGTAAACGTGGCCAATCCTCCTCCGTGTCTGGCATTCGACCGAATACTCGCTGGATTTCCAATTGTTGAGATAACGATACTGTATCCCACCATCTTCTGCCTTTCGTCCTCACCTGGGAATAATTTTTATCGTGTAAAATTTGTGCAATTGGTAAATTGGAAAAGAAATAATATGAAAAATTATAAAATATAAAATTTAATCGAGCATGAAGCGATGTGAATAAATGATCGATGATAAAAGGATTTTAAAAAAAAGAACTGGATAACTTACTTGGAAATAATAATATTCATGCGAAATTTGCATAATTAATCGATGGAAAATTAGAAAAAGATGCGAGAAAAAGTAATAATAATTTTAGGCAAAAATAGAAAATTTAATCGAGCATCATATGATGAAGATCGTTAATTTAATAATAAACATTATAATTAACATTGATAATGACACAAATAACGATTAATTAAAAGTTTGATCACGAACGACGAAATATCTAGCAATGCAATTTCCAAAAATTTCAAATTTCCAATCTCTAATAACATACGTATATTTACAGTAATTAAATATTATTTCATATAAAAATATGGATTTGTTTCTAAAAGTATAACACACTTTGAATTATTATTATTAGCAATTTAGAATTATTATTATTAGTAAATTCAAAAATTATACGAATTTATCAAGATCTCATTTTCTAACCTCTTCAAATACAAAGCTCGTCTGCTATGCTGTGCAGGCATACTAAACATTGCATGCTGAAGTCGATTAGTCGTAAAGTCGATCGATCGAAAAATCGATTATCAATCGTGTATATTGCATGATGTGTATTCATTTGATGGCTATCGACTAAAATCGACGATTGTATAGAAAAAGTTAATAAAAGAAAAAAAAACACGAGATATTTTGTCAATAGCATCGTATAAATAATATTGCGCCATCATGTGTCTTATATCCAAAGTATCATATAAATGAGAGTGCTATATCTCGTCAAAATATCTCAATAATGAATGCAAAGTGTATAAAATCTATTTAAATATCATTGAAATCTTACCTTGTCGTGCAACTCTAGAAGATTCAACAGTTGATCATCCTGAACCATCGTATCTCTGAGGAACTCTACTTGAGCTGTATCATAACCATCCCTTTCCCCTCCAGAGAGAACTCTGAATCTTCTTCCACCAACTGTACTCAAAATGCTGCAGCCATCTTTCAGCAACACTCTATCCCGAATCTCAAGCATAGTTCCATATTCCGCGTATCTGGTATAAACAAAAATATTGAATAATTTTATTTTTATTTTTTTCTTTTCCTTTTTTATTTATCTCGTTTTTTTTTTTTTAATTTAAATGAATGTTCTAGAAATCGTTACTAAAACTGAATTTTTTAACATTTAGGAATGTGGAAAGATATTTCGAGAGCATTAGCGTTTAAATTATTGTCTTCGTACGAAATACACAGACGATGATTCACAGTTTAGTCGATCGAGTTGTTTCAACATTTTCGTTAATGAAAACATAAATTTTGAATTGTTTCAAACGAAAAACAAAATTTTTTTTTCTTATTTTTAAGAAGAAATATTTATTTGTGTGATATAATATTACGGTAACAGTATACTTTATAACATAGTCTGCAGATGATGATTTATTATCAAGAATAATAATTTTGGAATTAAATATCTGGAATGAAATATACAATCTATTAGAATTTTAAATATTTTTTTCAATCTTATTTTAATTTCAAATATACTATTTTAAATACAATAAATTATAATGGATAA